TTAGGGCTTAAAACAGTCCTCCACTTCCCAATTAATTTTAAGCTTGATCAGCCATTGCATTTGCGTTTAGAGTTTCCGGTCTATAGTTGTATGTCTGCCTGTATGTCATTAGGGAGATAGCATGGATTTCTGATCTAATTTTGCAGTGTATGTGGCCCATTCAGCATAATTTATGAGTGGGGATTAATACACGAAGAACTACGGTGCGATTTGAATGTACATTGAACAGTCTGAAAAAATTATCAATTAAAAATTGCTTTAAACTAGTTCTTCGAGTAAAACAATAAAGGAAGGCTTGATTTGCTACTAAATGACTATAAGAACTGGTATGTTGCTTATGTTTGGTAAAGAATATGTTTGAATTTTTAGGGGCTCTGAAAATTTGTGGAATAAATGCACACCACTTAAGCAGTCATTTTCGTTCCAAAGCTGCCTTCCTACCCCTGCTGCTTCTGAGGTCCTTAGGGATTCAGCTCCAAATTAGCAAATATTACAAGTTCACTTGAGTAATCATTCTTAATCTTAACCATACATCCCAGTCTCCCTACATTCGTATGCATCATTAGGCAGATGACCGTTACCAACAAAGACGAGGGCGACTGAAATGGCCATTTGTGGTTCATTAGCCGTCGTGAGTCAGTCATACCCAGCCCCAAGTAACGCACCACCCGAAGCTCGAACTCGCGACCTTTTGCTCAGATTCCAATGCCCTTACCATTGAGCAACGAGCTCGTTGTCTTGCCGATTTAGATTAACACTATTGAAACTGGTTGACTGAGCACGCGGCTCAGTCATTTGGGGTTGGGTATGACCGGCTGATGACGGCTTACTGGTCATTTCAGTCTCCTTTGTCTTTACCGGCAATTTGTATCTGCCTACTTAACTATCAACTGTGCGGTTGTCGGCGGAGCTCGAAATTCAGCCATAGCACAGAGCAGGGAAAAGTGAGTTTTTTTAGCGATAAGTGAACATTTATAAACGATAAGACATTGCTATGTGACAACCGGTAGTAAACTCCAACTGAACTTTCAACGCACAAAGAAGTAGCCATGTCTCTCGTGTAGGTTAGTTTCAAATCCTTCCAATCTCTACAAAATACAAGTGCGTTATTATATCTTGGTGTCTTCAAAATAATTTTCGGTAAGGTTATATAGAGCGGTCGGATATTTCCCTATCTAGAATAATCAACTACTCACAAACTTTCAATAGGTTGAATTACCTATAATCTTCCGGTTTTCTACACGCCACCCATCGTTCCAGCTGGAATTTGCTGATGGCATTGAACTGCAGAGCGGTTTTTCGAAGGCAACCGCATTCCATAATTACTATAATGGGTAAACTAAGAAAAGTTGGCCTTTTGAACTAACCACGGGAATTATCGCTTACTTGTAACTTTTTAAGCAGGGTGATTTGCATAATCTCGCCACTTTTGTTCTTCTTTGAACTTTTTTCCCAGTTGGTGTTGGTGGTACCACTGGAAAATGTCTTTCAGTTACCTCGCCCGAGGTTTGGACACTCTGTTCCTCCATATACGTGTTCGCCGTTGGTCGGGAGGGTGGTTAGCTATGATATTAAAGCT